GTTTTATGCCGCTTTTATATATTCAAGACATACAGCGGATGGAACCAGGAATGGCGTTAATAATTGTCGTGGTTACGGCCGGCCCAGCCGTCTAAGGAATAAAATTCGCTGTTGGTTTGTTCAGTGTAGTGTGGTCTGCATCACTTCAGGTTTTCCTTCCACATCAAACAGAAACTCCGTGATTATTATGTCTCTGAACCACATGCAGCACATGTGGTGTCTCCTTAGGCAAGTGACGGCCTCTGTTCACCCAGCAGTGAACGGGTACCCGGTAGGATGAAATGGTAATTTGGCTGTCAACCTTCTAGCGCTTACAGGCAACTTGCGTTGTATACTCCCTAGGGAGCTGAGAATGAAAATCGAGTGCCCATTGATTTATTGACAGGGGTAATAATGTAGCGCTTTGAGCATGCTTTAGGGCGTGGATTTGTCGCATTATACATATGGATATTATAGTCATCAACATCTTCATCATTATCATCATCATTATTGTTAAGTTGTTTTATATTTTGTATATTCAAGAATCCTTTTCACAAAATCAATAAACCTTCTACAATATTATTCTCGACAAAGACATTTTTCTATTCTCTGTAATAATCATGAACTCTTTATTTCTACGAACACAAACAGACCAATTGCATTGAAAATGTTCTTAGACTTTAATTTAATGCAATGGTTATACTTCGAAGATCGACCTAAAAATGTCACGATGACCTCACATAAATTGTCGACTAGACAGAAATACAAAGATGGTAGATATCTTTTTCCAGAACGTCACTTTAATGTGCGCTAAAACAACTTATAGGGACATTTGCTGGCGTGACAGAATTTCTACAAAAACATTTTTTGCCGAGTTTGTCATGTTTAGAAGGCGTATCCATGGTAACTCAATATTATCTGCATATGCAATGTTTAACCGAACACACATCTCGGAACCGCCGGGGTCGAGAATGTCACCTCTCAGATGCCTGCGCTTTTCTTTTAAATGTCATCCCTCTGTCGTACATTTATTCGCATTTTTTGTTCCTGAGAGTTTGGAATAAAAGGATAAACCACAATGTCTGAGACTAAGGAATGTCCCTCCATGCACAGGGAATAAACATAATCGTAAATGTCAAGAAAACGCGCGCCACATTTCTTGAAAACTAACATAAACTGACATGTATCTTTAAAACAAATATTCTTTGACAGTGAAGAACAAAAATAGCGGCATGTCAGGGTGCATTAGTGAAAATATTTAATAAAAAAGTACACAAAACTGTGAAATCAACATGCTTTATCTTACTTACTCCCCCACTGAACTCCCGTGGTGAGATTTAGTTACTGTATGTGTAACGTACTGTGATTGCAAGACGTTAGTTTCTAATTTAGAAGATAATAACTGTTTGGAAACGTTATCTGCCAAATTAATACTGTGTGAAAATGCATAAAACCGCGTGTGTTTGCAATACACGATTACAAATGGGTGTCTGTTAGCTATAGGAGTAGGCAGGTGACCATGCAAGTGCCATGCCATGAATGTATAATGAGAGAGGTGTGTGTGTGGGCGGGGGGGGGGGGGTCGAGAGAGAGCAAGACATGAAAGAGAGAGTGAGAAAAAAGAGAGAAAAGGTGTGAGAGAGCATGAGAGAAAGGGAGAGTGGAGATATAGGGAGAGAGAAAGAGGGAAGAGAGAGAGAGAAAAGGCGTGAAAGCGAGAGAAAGAAGGGAGACTGAGAGAGAGAGTGAGAGGGAGAAAAAGAGAGAAGGAGAGTGGAGGAAAAAAGAGCGTGAGAGAGCGCGAGAGAAAGAGAGTGGGAGAGAAAGAGTGAGAGGGAGAAAAAGAGAGAAAGAGAGCGAGAGAAAATGAGAGAAAGTGAGAGGAAGAGAGAGATAAATGCGATTGTCATACAAAACAGTGTGTATTATGCAAATAAAACCCAACCTTTGTTTAAGTACACAATTCTGTATGCTACCTATCGTCCTTAACATCAATGTTATGCAATAGATAATTTCTTACGCGGGATTTTCAAGCCTTACCGAAATTTTTGCCGACTTTAACCGACGTCACCTGTCCCCCCTTGAAAATGGGACTCAAATTAGATTAAATGTCACTATGTATTTAAAGATTCGAAAACACTTGGTATGAAACTGTTCTGTCTCATACATACAGCTGTAAAGACATATTGACCTACCCGTCCACCTGTTTAACTATGCAATCCGCCATTATTGAATAGCATGCACGGCTTATCAGTAAGGTAGAACAACGCACGCATGATTTACATCGATATTCAAGAGTGTGCTGCATATTTGAAATAATTTATCCTGTATGTATTTGCATATTCCGAACGATCTCGACTTCGTCAATACAATGAAAGAATTATTATACGTAACATCTGTCTTAGTTTGAAGGAAATTAACGTTAGCCACGAGACATTAATATGAGATAGTCCGACATCGTGTGACGTCATGCACGCTGCAGGCAGTTTAGAACGCCGTTGTGGGTTTATTCGCCTATCATATTTCATAGACGTTATGAATGATCTTGACAGTAGGACGCTCGCCTTTTGATATCTCATGAAAAAACGGAATTTACATTTTGTTTGTTTGTTGTTTAACGCCGCACTCAGCAATATGGCGGTCTGTAAATAATCGAGTCTGGACCAGGCAATCCAGTGATTTACATCATGCGCATCGATCTACGCAATTGGGATACGATGACATGCATCAACCAAGTCAGCGAAGCGAGCCTGACCACCCGAATCGGTTAGTCTCCTTTTACGGGTTGCTGAATGCCTATTCTCACCCGGATCTGCACGTGTTTTTTCTGATAGAGATGCATAAAACACATGCTCATTGTAGTCAGAATCGTACAGTGTTACAATGTAACAGAGATTTATTATGCCTATAAATGAAAAAGGCATTATATCGCTTTTATTTACTTATTTTATATTTTTATCTTACAGGTTCAGTAAAGTTCGTTATATCCAAAATATCTGTAGCATTAAATAAAGTGTATTCAAAATGTGGTATCAACAACTAACAGTCTGAAGGATTACGAAACGATGGAATGGATGGAGACAATTCAGTAATTGACATCATGAGCATCGATTCACGTATTTGGGATACGATGATATGCATCAACCAAGTCAGCGAGCCTGACCACTCGATTCCGTTAGTCGCCTCTTACGACAAGCACAGTCGCGTTTTAAAGCACGCGTTGGCTGCAGAAGACCTATTCTACCCCGGATCGTCACGGGTCTTACATTTTGTAACTTAGTGTTCATTATATTGAGATTACAAAGAAACATTAAATCGGCAAAATAATGCGAAAGGCGATCTCGAACTGTTTGTTGTCCGAAGTTACATTCAGTTGGAGGTTGGGTCACAGGTGGCCCAGTCGTTTAAGGTGGTGCACGTCGGTGAGCAGCATCCCTAAGGCGTGCCAGGAACCTATGTTCGTGGGTTGCATTCTGGTTGGCCATGATAATGTTTCTAGTTATGTCAGCTCCACCACTACCCGTGTTCGTGGTTAACATTGAAGGTCTGCCTCACCATCACTTCCTTACACATCAAGCGGGACCCGTGAAGATCCGGGGTAGAAGAGGTCTTCAGCAACCCATGCTTGCCATAAAAGGCGACTATGCTTGTCGTAAGAGGCGACACACTGGATCGGGTGGTCAGGCTCGCTGACTTGGTTGAAGCTTGTCATCGATCCCAATTGCGTGGATCGATGCTCATGATGTCAATCACTGGATTTTCTGGTCCAGACTCGATTATTTACAGACCGCTGTCATATAGCTGGAATAATGCTGAGTACGGCGTTAAACAACAAATAACCAAACAAACAAAGTAACACTATTAAATAGTGATGATGCCATGCTTTACCTATTCAATATAGTTATGTGTTCAAAGCTGTGGGTGTAGCTGGCTCAACGTGGTCAATTTAAAACATAAAACAATGGCAGGGTTGACATTGTACCGGATCACTGAGTTCAGTCATGGACAACAGCTTCGTTTGGAGCCATGGAGGCTCCGCCTGTGACGTGACAGTGCTTGTGATGGAACACCCTGCTTTGTCTCGCGTGACAGGGGGAGTGTCCCATCCAAAGTCTGCATAAAGACCCCCGGGCGGGCCAGCCAGGGGAGCAGGGGCGGCACACAACTGGGGCGTCGCGGTTCGTCACGAACACATATTTCATACACATTTCGTATGTGGGGTGAAGTCTCATTATGTAATCTTCATCGTGATGGATTCCCGTGCCGCAATGTTGTGCAGTGGTTCGGCTCATCGGGTAAAATTTAAATTTCGATTTAATTTGAGGTGAGCTTAAATGGGGTTTAACGTTGCGGCTCAGAATATTGCACTAATATAACGACATGCATGCAGGTGCGTGTGTGGCTGCTTGTACTCGTCCGAACCACGGACCTATATAACAAGTCCGTGTCCGATTTTATAGTGCTAGCCCACCTAGATACCATGCTGTCGTTTAACATAGATCTCACACTCAGATACAGTACACAGACTCCGAGCCGACCAGTCCTTGTCCGAGCGCCATGCATGGTAACTACAAGTACCATATTTTAACGTCCCCGGACAGACATTCTTTCCACTAGAAGCTGTCGACTACTTTGACAACAGGTTAAGCTGTAACACATACATATATGTTTGGAAACCTCAATTCCAGCTAGTGAATGGGTGTTGGTTTTAAGAGTCGAACAGTGCAGATATACTATGACAGCCTCTCATGGAACGAGTCTTAATGGACAAACCAGCGTTTTAAAGCGTGAACAATTGTTGCATACATTGTGACCATACGATCCCCAATCCAGTTGACTCTACCGGAAAACTTGAATCAGTTGTCCTTCCGCGGTGGGGGATTCATATACTGTGAAACCTTGTTAACCTATCCAGGTGACTTCTATTGGGAACGTATTACTGCGATGTTATTAGGTATCCCTGATACACATCCTTGTTTTGTTTAAACAGCAACAGATAAAGAAGCACAAACAAAATCAAATACTTTTTGAATTTTTAATTCAAATTCGTCATTTTTACACATTTTGTACAAAATATATAATCAACATATATACAATCTTGAACAACCTTTAGAAGGAAACCTCCATTCAGCTTCCGGTTTTCCCGGATCTGACGTCATAATGGTACCATGCATACGTCACTCTCGCTCTAGCCTCAACACGCACTCAATGGTGCTTGTACCACCATCTCTTATCAACAAAACATCGTACAGATAAAGCAATAGAAAAATAGGCTTTGTTTTGGCAGTGAAGGCACCGTATTCTGGCAAAAACGTACATGCTGCCGATCCCTTCAGCAGAAAATGCATAGTTTAAATATTCAAATAATAATGCATGTTTGAAATCGTCTTTGAGACGAGAACAACCGGAGTTCAGTTTGCAGCACAGATTAAAGTGACAGCGAGAGAGTCTTGATCTGAGATCAGGTGACCGAAAGAGGGGTGCGTATTTGCCAAGACTTCTAAATATTGACGTTATGGGTTGCTGGGTTGTCGCTTTGGTGAAAAGCACTGCAAGCAGGCCTTCACCATGACCTTTGACATTGTGTGTCCACAACACTGTGGGCACACAATCGTAATACATGAGATACGTGTATTATATAGACATGTTAATATTCAAAGTTTCCAAATGGTGAAAATCGCTTCAACATAATTATTCAAGTTACATTTTAAGTAATTTGGACAACAAAGTATGCCTTACTAATATGCAAAAAAGTTATCTGAAATGTGTGATAATTTCGGAAAAAAACTTGAAATGGGCTGGTTTCGGTCTAATATTTCCGTCTGCCATCAGAAACTGTTGTGTAGTCAACTAAGATGTTGGCTCCACACGAGACGGGGACAAACAACTTCCCCAATCTAACGCCGCGTCCCCCAGACAGGAAGCCCTGTGCTGTAACTGTGGGAACCAGCTACAAGCGCAGGCCAACTCCAACACTGGGCCCATTCACACAGGGAGAGATTATCCCCAGTAATATCTAAATACACTCTAAGCTCAATTTTGTCTGAGTTTCAACAATGGCTTTTTCTGTAATTCCCGGCCGTGTTTGCAATGAGAGACATCTAGCCTTTGTACCTTATCGGCGTTATGGAAATTAATATTTATTGATGATGATTATCCGGATTTTTTGTTTACAGAAGAGGCTATAACGTAAATTAAATTCGGATTTTGGTGTCTTTTTAGATGACTTTCTGAAAAGAGGGCGGATTTGATATGAAAAGGAGACACATCAAAAAGAAATATTGAATCAAACAAACACGAGTCTCTATGCCAAACAACTGAAGAACAAGGACCTGATTTTGGAAACAGGCCGAGACGCCCTTCATCCCATTGTTCAAATTTGGAGGATCTGTATTTTGAACATTCCATGTTCAGACGGAACAGTACGGTCAAGCGAGTGAATATTGCTTGATGCTGCGTCAGCATTGTTGCATCTGTTTGCAGCGAATAAGGGGCCTAGAGAGGTTTAGGTCAAATATTCTTTTATTGGACGGACTCAGGTCAATAACTGAGATATCTTGGCAAATATCAACTTATCGGACTGAGATTTCACACAGGACATTGAGAACACAAGGGTAGCATATGCAGCACATGAGTCTTCAAGAGACTTCAGACACGAGAAAATGTTATTTTAGTACGCCCTGCAAGTTAAATAAATTATGCTAATTTATGCAAATGATTCCATGAGCAAGAATGATGATGTATGGCCTTCGCGGCCAACCAGCACTGGGTGAGCCCCATATACCAGATGAGCACACTAATATCACAAATAGTTCACTTACACACTCAAGCACTGTATGCACGTGCTCTTGCATCAATCACGTGACTCGGAATCATGTCAGTCACTCTACAGTCTGAATAATGTCTGGAATAATTGAAGCTCACGGCTCCCCGTTTGCATTTTGGGGGCTGTTGAAATAAACATAGTCTGATGATTTTGTTGTTGTAATTGTTTGTCCGCTGTTGTCTGCATCGTAATCATCAACGATTGGTCCAATAATAAGTTGCCCTAGCAACTGGCTTGATGGCGGATGTGGGTTTCCACAACTGTCGTCACTTCCGGAATCATACGCGTTTTGCTGGAACTCGCGAACAGCCCGGATATTGCTCTTCGACTTTAGGCGATCACGTGCTGGTTCATACGGCTGCACTTGAACATATGCTCTTTCACATTCCATCATTTCTGAAAAATGAAGAACAATTGATTAGTTTTTGACACAAACTTAACAACATTAGAATGAAGCAAGATTTGCACCAAACAACGGATTGTTCACAATTACACGAATCTAAACACGTCCGATTTATGTAAAATCTGTTTCTATATTGGTCACAGTCCAAGACGGAATACCTGAAGATAAAAGATCTAATTATTCCAATAATTACGTGACTTATCACATTATTTATTACCCCTCGTTGCGACAAATTACACATTAAACCAACTTCCAGCGGCACCGGTCCCTGTAATCCTCAATAATGAGGTAACCCTTATCGTTGAATTCCGGACAACTAGTCATCTTCTCGAGACTTAATTTGAGAGGACCTGTTAACCAAACAAGTGATCACAGAGTTGGCAAGAGGTAAGTACAGAGGTCAACTGGACAGGTATGGTTTGTAAGTGGGTGTTAGATAGCCGGGGGATATGATCTGGACGAAGGAGGCTGTCCACTCCGCCTTGTCTCATCAACATGATGTAACGTTGTATAGCTGACCTATGGTAAGTGACTTGGATAAACCGACGTGTGTTATTATCTCAACCCGCGATGAATGAGAGCTGGTTTGGTTATGTATAATTTTGTCTTTAACGATTATAATAGTACTACAATTTAACGAGAGGTTAAAAATGTGGCATGGCCGTTAACATAAATCCGAAATTCAAGAATTATGAGGTTTGTCCGTTAGACACTGTTATCAAATTTATCGAATGCCAAATATTGCCCAAATGCAATTATTTACTAAAGAACTACTTGTATTGAATAGTTCAGTGGTTATAACTGTGGGAAAAACTACAAAATTCAACGAATGATATTTTGCACGCGATCAAGGTAACCAGGAGGAGCTCACAAAGCAGACCACCTGTACTTGAACTGTGTACTCGGTAACCTTAGCAATTAGGTGGCAAACAGTGAAGGGGGGGATAAGGGTATCTGCTCTTCACCCTCTGTCCACACTCAACGTGCATATGGATACGCTCTACCCGCTAATGACGTCTGCTTCCGTGGACATGGAAGCCATTTTGTTTTTTTATTTAGACTCATTAAACATCCAATTTGTTCATCATTTGATTTTTTTACGGCGAGGTTTGCTGAGCTAAAGGGCACAAATATAATTTGTTTTTCATGTTTCGTTTAAAAGTAAAAAGCAAATATATTCAATTTTCTGTCGATAGTGAAATGTTTACGTCCGCATGTTAATGAGTGACGAATTTAACCTTTAAATTTTAATTCACAAAATCGTTATGCACTTTTCTGGTCTTTTCAAAGCAACTTCTGCGCAAGAGTCAATATGTATTGGTCTAAACACACAGAAAAACCTTGCCAGTTGAAAGAGCATTAACGATTTACGTTTGTCGTCCAAGGTGAAAATAAACATGTCTCCGATCAATGCTGTTCTGTCATTCTCCCATCGCCTCCAACTGGCAAAGTTTCACGGTCAAGTTCATAACACGCTGTGTACCTGGCGGGAGTTGGCAGACACGCAGTATGTTTCCGTCAATTTGAATTTGTGAAAAAGATTACATGCAGATTTTTTAAGACTTGCAATTGTTTGAAGGTTGCTGTGCTTTTTTTGGCCGCAGCACAATGTTGGCAAGTTATCCAATAATCAGCCGAACAAACACGGACTGAAGAGTGTTACTGAATCATAACATGGCGCAAAAGGCCGAGCTTCGCATGAAACATGCATGGTCGCTAACATTATAGAAATGCATAGATTATTTGTTGTCAAATATCCAGTATATATTTAAAGGACAATAAATCAAGGGTTTGGTTGATCACTTCGAAATTCCATTGGATGCATTTTCCTTGACATAGGAGGAATATGCAGGATTTTGCTGTAAGAACGAGTTTTTTCGACTTTACAAACGGTTTACTCGAAAACTAGGAAAGATTATCACCTTGGCGAGGTAAACTTAAACACTTTTTCACACATTCTGGAGTCGAGATTACGTCACATGGCACCATAGCAAATGCGGATTGAATTGGCACTACGGGTTTAACTCTGAAATAAACATACTAATTTCCTAACTACGTGTATTAGCCATAGTTCGACCTTGACCTCCTAAAGTCAACATACGACTTTCCCGGGATTTGCCTCAAAAGCAATCTGGTTGAACTGGCGAAGAAAAAAACACTACCGGCTTATCGTCGGTTACGAGTCAACAGTGGATTTCCTTTCCCACTCTCGAGTTTTTAATATTTGTCATTCTTTGTAATTTCCTCTCGACATTAAAATAACAAACTCCACTAAACAATCTACACGTCGTATGAAGGGTTTGACTTTATTTCCCCCACGATGCCTGATGACAGATTTCAGCTAGCCCAATATCACTCCGCGGCAAAACGTAATCCCCTTGTCCGCGGATGTTATCAACTGCTACCCCTCAATTAGGCTGCAGCGCGATGTTTATGGGAGTTTTCACGATTCTCCCCATCTGTCCTCCAAAGTGAAACAACTCGGATCACAAACTCGACATTTTCCCACAAACTGAGAGTACCGGGGCTCCTTACAAGCGACACGTAATTTACAAGATGGCTGTTAAGATGAAACATATGGGGGCTTATATTATTCAACACAATTTATCATTTACGCCGTTGACAAGCACGAAGCACCAAAATGAAGGAGAAATAGATGTCGTCAAGATACTGTAGTCCTTCAACTGGCGTTCGTGCACACTACCATCTTACCGATAACAAAGCGTATCATATGACATTATAATTAACGAGTTATTAATATCACATTTCACGATACTAGATGTCAACATACTATATTCTTCGAATGTTTTTACAAACTTCACTTTCTTTACCGATAATCAGTCGTATCAAATGACATTTTAAGTAACGTGTCATTAATATCACATTTCATACATTCTGAAAATAATTAGGTCTAAACATCGAACAAATTACAAAAATACTCTACAACAGGCCTCCGTTGTTGAATCAATGTTAATCTTGTTTACTTTCCTTTGCTCGTTTCCTAAGGCGCCATGAAATGAAAATGTTCTCTTGATAAATCCCTATTACCAGGACACATTAGGTCACGGTCAAAATACCCTTACTACAACGCTCGCGGTCACAGGGTATATAAGGTCCAGCATGGGGTTGGGGTGAGTTGGTAATCCTTGGAAGATGGAATTCCTCCACGTTCGTATTTCACCCATCGGCACAGATTGGTCACCCATGGGACACTCTCGAACCTCAGTATGAAAACTTGATAAAAGGATCGTCCAGAAATGAATAAATACATATTTATCTAAGGTGATAAAACCAGTCAGCCCGGATATACGTTTATTGACATATTCTCAGAACTGTGTATCTCATAGAATACAAGACAATTTACACCAAGAACTCGAAACTTGTTCGACCTTATTCATAATGTTGAATAGAGAGGACGAGGGGGACATTAGCTAAACCAATTTAGACATCAACTATCCTTTCTTGCCCTAGGGGCTGAAGAGGTTTCAATCCCAGTCGCTCCGTCACCATATCTAACAAACTCGTCTGTAAACTTCTCGCCTTACACCATTCATAAATCCAGTCGACTTGTTTCGATACAATAGAAGGCCGCAACGCACAGACAGGCCCGCAACAAAGCCATCGCCACGCCTGGATGAAAACCATCCCTGGATCTGCTGCGTTTTTTTAATGACGATGTACCTCGAGAGATTCGAAAAAGGTAGTTTTGTCAGGTCAATTGTGGTGTGGTGATGGTTGTGGTGGAAAAGGGATGATGCAGCCAGACACGTAACGGGAGGTTCTGGGACAACGGGGGACCATCTACAGCAGTGTGGGGATCGGGGAGGGAGAGACTAAAATGTAGGGAGTACTTGTTGGGGAGGCTTAATGGGTCGGAACAAGAATATGTGACAATGGTGACTGCTTGAAACCTGAAACCTTATGTCTCAGTAGTTGATGTATAGTATGCTAATTCAAACCAACGGAAGTGCACATTTATCAACTTTAGTCGATTTGAAGTGTTAGTGTTTGTTTGTACTGGAAATTATCATACAATTGGGTTTGAATTAAGATTTAGGAAAAACGAAGATCTCGACGGACTTGAGACATGCGAGATACATCAACACATGACACGCTCCATGTGGACAACTTCAAGTACGCGGCACTTCAATCCTGATAAAAGTGTAGAAAAAGATGGAAAAGGGGCGATTGGTAATAAATCCACACTCGAACCTAATGGGCAGTGGGCAAGAGAATGTAATTGTTGACCACCTGTTGACTTTAAAACGTGGTCAACAATTGCAACTCCAACACGACGAGCATCCTCTTGCCCTGAAACAATTCTATCTCTCCGAGTGAGACCTGCAATTGTTCTGCATCGGATGACACCCGTGGAGGTCCATCAAGTTTATTCTTGTCTCAACACGATAAGAGAGACCCTCGCCCACATCGTTCGACCCCATAAATGACGTGAAATCCCTCCCACATCCCACCCCCAACTTCTCAACAGAAGGGGGCATTGTTCTCCTCCACAAGACAATGACTGTAACGGGGTACAGGGCGTCGCGTCGAAGCTAATCACTGACCCTAAGCTACAGGTGCCCGCTTGCCCACCAGGCTTCCTTTCCCAACGTTTAAATTGTAACCGAATCAAAAATTGACCAAACTCAAACAAACTAACATGGCTTTAAGGGACGTACAGGAAGTTAGACAATGCTGCGTTTTTGTGACAATGGCCCTCGAATACTTAAGAACTTTAGAGGCATTGTCAATTATAAAACGCAAACGCTGTTCAATACCGGAGACTCATGTTCGAAAGACACCTTAGTTTCCGTTTGTGCTCGCCTGGCTCTGCACATAACAAATATTAGCAGAGACGATTCGCTGTGACAAACTGATGAGAAAATCTATAGCTGGTCTAATTATGTTTTTGGTCCCTATAACAGTCCGGGCTCTGAGCATCGCGGTTGTTTGCCCAAGTTTGTTTGGGATGACCCCCCGTGCCCGAGTGGACGTAAAGTGTTGTGGACATTGCGCCCACCTCAGAGTTTCAACCAACTGAAGAACATAACTATCAACGTTTGATGTTGCTACAGACAAAGCCTCATATTCTTGCTGTGTTTGCAAGTTCAAATTTTCACAGAATAATAAAAGAAAGAGGATTATTTTTGTGACAAACGTCTAATCCAATTGCTTGTCTTGACCACTGAAACTGACCGGATGGAAACAGGGAAGAATGTGTCGGATTGAAGCACAAATGTCCAAATACAGACACCGTCCGAACACGTTATTTCAGCCCGCCTTGAGAAGAAAATGTACACGTGTATGCTATTAAGAACTAGATGTCTATGTTTTGTGCTATTGTTTTTTAATAAAACGTGATACTGCAACTGCTCCTAAATGAAATATAACTGCAGCAAATTTTATCTTATCTTATCTTTTCTTATCTAGCCAAACTGACATACCGCGATGAACGTTATAAAGCTAATTCTCATGAGTGCTTCGTCTCACAAAGACGATGAGCACAAAGAAATATTTTGGCAAGCCGAGAAGATTCTTGCAAGAGCTGCAGCCAAGCCATGGTCCCATAACCTTTAGCGTATTGGCAACAAGTGGCAACAATGAGGCAGAGGAATGCAGCCAGTAATTCTACACCGAAGTCACCATCGATGATCAGACTGATAAATACGGACAGATTAGTGGGTGGGAACCTAGCTTACGAATAAATTAGGGTTCAACGTCGTCCTGTAGAATTTTGGTTCCCATCCTAAAGAGGATGTGCCTGCATTAGCTGGCGGGAATCTGTCGATTAATGCAAAATATATACTTGAGGAAATGCCGGCTGTGTAGCCCGGAAATATAGCTCATATTACATGAGTATGGAATACGAGTCTTAACCCATGGCAATGAGAATGTATTATGCAATCTTGATGGCTATCGTAAAAGGACATAATTTAATAAGATTGACAATTACCAATGAAATAAAACATGACTTTTTAGGGCTTTCTCGAAAAAGATAAATAAGCTCAAATAGTGACATGTCTCGTGATGCTGATGGTGCAGAATGGGAGTAAAGGACCACACCCGACAACCGCCTGGGGCGAGAGAGAGGTGAGCTTAGGTCGGGACAGAATAAGGAGGAACGGGATTCCACTTTCATTAATTTAGCTCTTGAGCCTCGCCAAACTTTCCACATGCCTCACCACTGGGCCCTAGGAACCAGAGCAATGACTCATTCTTAAAGATTGCTCTCATTTCTGCCACTGGCTCTAAGTTTCCCATGCTCCGATGCAGACGTTCGATGCAGCCGTTTCCGGAAAAGGGAACCTGTCTTACTTTTATATACTCCAGGCTCAGTCGCATCTTTGATGTTGAAACACATGCGCTCATAAAGGGGCGGTGGAGTCCCAGGAAAATTTAGCAAGTTATGAAACGAAATAAACATTTATAGGATTCCGTGATATATTTTATGACTTGCATTACGGGGTAAAACATCAAACTTTGAAATAAAGTGCACCGACGTATTGAAACACTTCTTGCATGAATAATATATCTTAAACCCCTGCAAATGCAACGCGGCCTAAAATATCGGCTAAACAAACATCAACGCGGATGTTAACGTTATGTTTTCAAGGCAAAGTCCATAATTGAACCCAACACGTAGGGGATATTTTTAGTTACTTCGCATACTTCCAAATATTGTCGGTCCTCACTGTAGCCGCCATTCACATGCGTGGGTGCACAGGCGTGTACTCGGTAAGTTTATTTACAGGGCAGTTAACACACCAGGGAGATACTCGGCGTTAACACACTAGGGAGATACCCAAGTGTAAGAAACCGGCGCATAAAGTCCCACCCAGAATCATCAGTGGTCATGGTATATAATACCTGAATCATAGAAATTACTAAAACTTGGAATGAGTGAGTGGTCAATATGAACACTGATTCAAATTTTGGCGGGTTACACTGTTTCCATGATAATGACATCTACCTACATGGGAACTGTTTCATACGGTGTCATGTTTTTAGAAATATTGCTAAAATGTGTTTTTATTCTGAGATTGATCCAACATAAATGTCTTTAACGGGTAACATATATACTGCAACCGCCAGCCACAATTTCTATTTCAAGAAAAAAAATACCAGTAATCATGAACCATATTATACGGAATATAAGCACGTACGTATCTTCATACATATTTAAACAGTTGGCTAGATAACCTCACGACTATGTAACCACACATTACAGCCATGACTGAAAGTTGTCCACATCAAACTGTCATACATAATCCCACAAAAACGCCAGCTTCAATCACAAAGTATGTTTGCCTTCAAGTCAGCATTAGACAAAACAAACCCAACCACAAGTACGAAAATGCACACAACATTCCTTGCAAAACTATCTCGACATGTTGAACACGAGATGATTAACTGCTTGTCGAGGGGACCAGAGTTTCCTCCTTGTTTCAAGCACTGTAGGCAAAACATGTAATTATCCCGATAAAAACATCTCACAACATAGTGATGTTAAACTCGAGTTGACGCTGTGGCCACGCCTCATTAGGGCATAAGGGTACATCCCAAGTATGTTAATTAGACCTTTCTGCCCTGAGCAGATAAAACCCGGGAACGCGCATGTGATTGTTTTATTTCTCACAAAGGGTTAATTTAAATGTTGACGACAATTACCCGTGGCATAGACGTTATCTTGCTTCAATAAAACTATCAGGGTGGGAAAATAGTTACATAAACCATTACAATCATAAATGATTCAATAAACGCGTCACCTGAAATTGTTTTATGACAGTAATTAAACACTTTCAGTGATTCTTAATTGTAATGTGTCATGGGAAATTGTTTCATATAATTGCATAACGTTCCAAGATACGATCGCCCATTTTCCTGTCAACATATTACAGATCTGAATTCGAATCCTTCTTAACCTACACTGTCACATTTGATTTGGGGACTTGAAGAAAACCATTACGTCACAAACGGTCACTTTCTGAATCAAATTGAAAAGAAATAAAGATAAGTTTACTTTTAGTAAAATTTAATTATATTAGAATAGTTATAATTATTATCATCATACTGTTATTATCTTTTAAACAAATTGGTAATGTTATCACAACCAAATAATATATCCATTAACTGTTCTAATAGGCATAGAATGATGACAATAAAAACCCTAATAACAATAGCATGATAAAAGATTCACAAAGAACTCGAAGTGCTCCTACTATTTATAAACCCGACACCAAACCAAATCTTGCCCTGCTGCAAGTTCATGGTCAGTGTATGTTTTTTCTCGAACGAGCGATTCCACTCCCCCGCCCTGTCCGTCCCTGGGGTCAAGAGGGGCCACCGAGGCAACATGTGGCAACCATTACCCCAGAAGCGACCAATTACTCTCTCGGGCTCACAAATATTTTTGATAACGCTTATCGTAAAGCGGGGATCTCAAGAGTGTGGGAATTTAATTGACACAGTATATACGGCGTATCAAATACCTAACCTTCGCATGCCGAGTTGGTTTGTTCCGACGAGGTCATACAGAGTTGCGTCCCCTTGACCATGTGAATGACAGCGATTACGCTGCAAGTCCTAACATGTTTGGCGAGACGTTTGTTTAGTGTGTGCTTTGAAGGGGATACGGGGGATATATGGGCCGCAATGAGATAACGCCGAAAAAGCTTTCCGACATGTTGAAACTTGTCAGAAACTTGCCAAGGAAACGCTACATTACATTTATACTATTTTCTTCATTGATCATTTCACATGCAAGAGCTTTTGAGTATTATTTAGAACACTTTCACAAAACTTTTTACATTAATTTCATAACTTTTGTTACCGTAATATTAAGGGTGGAAAAAAACTGAAGTTATTTGGCAAAAAAACATTCAGTCGGCACAGTAGTCTTTATACGCATCCGTAGCTATATTAAACATCTAGATCTAACATGTTGATACAAAACTAGACTTTTTGACTTGTAATTTATCGGTAACCTATCAAACGCTTCTTACATAAATTAGCTATTCCAAACCACAACCAGGTAAATATCATCAATATCCGCACCGCTGACAAACAACCTATATCCCCTTAGTCATAACAGAAAACATTTGAATATAAATGTAATGTAAAAAAATAAATTAAAATGAAGTTGAATTTTAGAATAAAAGATTCTTACCTGGATCATAAATCATTTCTTTCTCAAGCGCCTGTCTCTTGCTTTTGATGTAGCAGGCAGCGAATACAAACAGGACAAGGGATACAGAAACTATGCACAGTATTCCAATCAACGCCATGGCTAAGGTCTTCCATTGGTGTTCGCTGGACGATACAGCAGACGTCAAATCCAGAACGCTCCCTTGACTTTTCTGAGGCTCGGTTGTGTCTTCAATAGATACAATGGTCAATTCGGATGTTGGGTCCGTGGATTTACGGTGGTTTTTCTTTCCTTGGTGATGTCCTTTATGATGTTTGCCGTGCTTGTGGTGGTCGGGATGGGCATGCTTCTCGTCAACCAAACCACCTTCGTCCGGTCTCTGGTTAAAGTCTATGAACTCCCGGAATGGCCCGCAGATAGTGTCGCCGTGGGAGTGACAAGGTTTTCTGATAATCTGGTTCTTCGGACATGTAGAACAATTTTTACAAATGTCCAGTTGCACATCTAGGAATTGTCCATTTGGACACTGTGCTACTCCGCTCTCCGTCGGGATTGCAATGTACAGCAGCACCACACATACAAACATAACCTTCATCTTGTGTCTGCAATAGTAACACAAAGTTTCAAATTAATCTTTTGTTCTCAGCAATATAACATAACATTGAGATTGTGACAATGTTGACATTAAGTACATTTAGTTGTCTCCAAAATAGTTGCCTGTATTATTACACACGATGCATGAAAAGGCGAATACTTAAATTCAAATCCAAAATCCAAGCGTGTACGGAAGAAAGCACATGTCAGGTAACATATTTAAGTCATCAATAAAAACCAGCCTATCAACTGACTATGTATATCATTTAATTAATTTTCAATATTTAATATTTCAAAACGATTAAGGTAAGATTCAGGTCGTTACATCCGGTCCCATGTCAGGTTTAAAAATAGCCAATGGATCGTGATTTGGCAACCAATTTTCCACCTTCTATTTATAACCAAAATTGATATCGATTCAAATACGATTTCGGATTACAACGTTTAATATTTCAAGTAATCTGAAAGTCAAAACAACTTTACTGGTACCCGTTTCTGCTATTGCACAATATTGAATCATCGATATAAATACATATTCGACAGTGTCTCGTCTTAGACACGAAAGTTTGAAACAGGCAACCTAAAATATCCGTTTGTGAAAATATCCAAAGTCATGCTCAGAGTCGAAACTATCGAAGCGTCAACAAAAACTCATTCATGTAAGCATAAGGTAAGTAAACCTCGCTAGCCGCTAGTGTGCCTCGCTCGAGTTAGCATGGCCCGTTCATAACCAGACCTTGTCTCACGGCTTTCATTGCTGAAGACACAACACGTGAAAATATATCAGATACAGTGAAACGACTTGCCTGTGACCGTAGACAAATATCACTATCACGCAACTCCAGATCGACTTACCTTATGTCGCAGCGATTAACCAAGAGAATGATTAAAATCCACACAATCCTCGATCTATATTCACGTATCCTCTCTCGCTCCTGTCTGTTACTTGTATGAACGCAGACGGCAATGTGTTCGGACTTGCACACTCAGCATTCACAAAACGTCAGCTCGCCGTTCGCGTCAGCCAATCAAAATCAAGATCCTCTATAAGGGGCGGGGCTTAAATGGGTCAATGGCGAGGTCATGTTCATTCAATGGTTTTGACAAGTTCTCAAGTCGTGCGCATGTCTGGATTGGCCACGACAGGCGATAACTTGATGTTTTGACGGATTTTCATCAACCAGCTGAGCGCGGATAAGGAGAGTCTAGCTTGGAAGTCTCACTGTCGCATCTACCAGATTTCACGGACATAGTTTTTGAAGAAACATGACTTTGCTCGCTCTCAAACTGTTCCCGTGGCTTCACGTGTCCGGCATGTCTGTCGGGCTAAAACCTGCGTACACCTGTCATGTTTCGTATAAGATCTACAAGAAAAGACAATAATTACATATGCAGTGTTAATAATCAATAGAAGGTTTATTGTGCGTATGTGTGTGTGTATTTATATCGAATGTGGTTATATGTGTGTTTGCTAATGTATCTCTATATACAAGTATGTGTGCATCCATTTGGATGGGTATATATGGATGAATGAATGTGTCGTGCTATATAAGTTGGATAGCAATGTTTTGTTTATTTTTATGGTCTCTCATAAACAGGTGCTTTCTGTACGAATCAGTTAATATATGCGTTATGCGTACAGAAAAGTGATAATAAATTTAAAAATGATAAATAATCTGAAACTGTTATTAAAAATTTAACAAAGTTCTATTTGTATTATTAGATCTAAATTTAGTATGAATTAGGTTTGTGATATTCATATAATTCATACCCTCCTCTACATACATGATACACTCCCGCCACGCACCTCTCTATTCTCCCTGACACACCCTCCGTTCCCTCGCCCCTTTAACTGAACTGTCGCCCCCATTCCCTCCTTATTATCTCCCCTTACCTGTACCCGGTTCCCACCCCCTACCCGTCTCCCATCGCATTACGTACCACAGCGATATGAAACGCACATTTTTTTATTATTCTCATTACATAATCTAAATGATTATGAACATTAAATTTTGAAATAGTTATAACATCAAATGGTATTTCTTTCTGCACGGACTTAGAAACACACGTTGAAGCAACCTAATGATATTCGTTTCAGTTTCTGATTTATAACAGACATAAACACATTTGTTCTCGTTTATTACATCAATATGAAAGAGACTATAAGTATCGTATTTTCCGCCGTGCATGCTGGCATAGACTAACACTTAGTCTATGAAAACATTTCTTTAATATAATTGGGGGGGGGGGGGGGGGGGGGGGGGGCTTCCCTCTTCTGCTGGTTTCAGGAAATTAGACTTGTTTTAGTTTGATCTAGACTTGCCTGGGCTTTAAGTAATTTTATATATTCCACAGTAATGGCGCAGGACCAATACTTGCAGTAATATGGTAGCATCATTGGTTTCACAAATACTGGATTCATTGGAAACTATAATACTTACATATGCAATATGAATAAGAACTTACATTTTGCATATAAAACATTAACAAATATGCACGTGTGGAATACGAGTAACATTTTTCCTCAAATGTCATAGTTGATGTTTGGTTGGTTAAAATTTTTGTATGTGTCAAGGACGGGTTCAAATTTATGTTTTGTATTCTATGTGTTTAAAGTGTATTTATGCATAACTATAATTGTAACGAAATGGTGTCTGTCACGATGTTACAACAAGATCCCTCCATCAGACTGAATTATTTTAGCAGTACTTGTAAAACACAGACATACCCCGACAATAACTCAATTCCCTGTCAAAATACAGCGGATCTGTATGTCAAAATAAGCGTTGTTTACATTGCCGTAATTGGCATATTGAAGCATCAACATCACCTAATCACTTACACAATTCAATACACATGCCTCGCTCTCCCATTTAAATGTCAGTAAAACTCACAATGCGGATCTAAACACAAAACACAACGTATTACTACTACTAAACGAGCAATCTCTTTCAATCAACACCAGAGCATTAAGCTACTGTTGTCCGAAATTACAAACAAACCCACCGTCGAGGTTACTAGTCGCGAACAATGGTGGCCGTGATCGTGGAACAGAAGCTTGTGATCGTTCGCATCAGACACTAATAAAACAACCCGCTGTCATCGGTCACCGTGTTAAAACACTGGCGTGAGAAGGTTTTTACACCTTACTGTGAATGAAGGGTATTTTCACCTGATTACATACAGCGTTAATTGGTATTACGATGTGACATAATCACCTGTGCCTAACTGTACTTTGACGTGTCATTTGATTGACATTCATGTAATCAATTCTGATTGGGTTTGTGCGATGTTTTCTTAAGCTGCTAGGGGAGCCAGGTAGAAAATGGCGATTTAGTCAGATAGACCCCACATTCACTATCTCACAAAAATACACCTGGAAATGTGTTCAAACACCGCTTACTATGTATTATCATATGTCACTTTTTGAAATTGTATCTTTTAGTGTTATGACAATACATTTTTATTTGTTTAAAAAGTGACATACACATATTGAAATACCGAAAGTCAAGTCACTATGTAATGTATCTATAACGACATGTTGTGTAATTAAAGGTACTTGACTACCCTTTCCCTTGCTTCCTGGGCCGGTCGGGTAGCCTGGTGGTTAAAGCGTCCGCTCGTCACGCCGAAGTCCCAGGTTCGATTCCCGACATGAGTACAATGTGTGAAGCCCATTTCTGGTATCCCCCGCCGTGATATTGCTGGAATATTTCTAAAATCGGCGTAAAACCAAACTCACTCACTCACCCATTGCTTCCTCAGCTTCTTTGTATCATATGATACTATATAACACATGAGCCCAAATTTGATAGGTCTGTATCTGCCATTAAATGTGTGCAAAAAGCAAAATCAGATACCTTTATCTCCCAAATATACCCTGATGAACGTTGCCAATAACTTTAAACTTGTAAAAATCATACATATGGATAGGGTTCTATAGCCTGCATTTATGTCATGTAAAATATACCATGTCCTCATCCTTGAGCCATATGAATGCTCTATTTTTGTACTAGGTTTGGATAGGCGTTTTTGCACAATACCAATGCTTGATTCTGTATTCTATGATTCGACCGAGTACTTACGGCCATCTATAGAGGAACAAGTGTTCTCGTACGAACTGCCATGAAGAGGCACTGGTGGTGTCTCTGACATTTGTGAAAATGATATCCATGTCTAATGTAGATATTTCCACACGATACAAGTTCGAGATCATGTTTTACATTGAACAGATTATCAATAACCATGTGTTCTGACTTCATTTTAACAAAACAATATCCTTATGTCCAAAATGCAAAACAAAACGTTAGTTGTTTGACTACCCTTCCACTCCCCCCCCCCCTTTCCTTTGTATTGTGATGTGCCCCTGTACTTGCAGCCGTCTCGAGAATAAACGGTACTGTTTTATTGGTGGTGTCCTGAACCAATGTCACATGACACAGAAAAGATGCGGTGCTTAACTTGTTTCTATGTGTGTATATATTGGAGGAGGTCGTTGTCAGCGATGTGCGAAGTGACATGCATGGTTTGATTTAATGTCATGTTTTATTGTAGGCGTGTTTACTGCATGGAAAGGTGTCCCCGTTATACTGATATATCGTGGGTACATAAAGATGGATGCTTTAAAACGAGGGACATTGCTTATTGCTCGGTGTGGGAGGAAACTCAAAGTAATGTAGGTCTTAGACGTTTACCGCTTTGTTGAAACCAACGAACACGGTGTAGTGTTGACAAACTAAGAAACATAATCACAGGATTCTGGCGTGCCCTAAGGGACGCAACTCTGCAAAGTAAACTGTTGGCTGTGCCCTCGGCTCCCCTAATTGTCTCCTTAGTACAATATTAATGTACCTGCGTATAGATCATATGAAAACCGTATTACGATGTTGAATTGTATGTATTTAGCCTTTCAAAAGTAATCGCAGTGAAATTATTCAAAGAGGGTGAGGTGAAATGGGTTTAACATCTCGTTCATGTCCGTTGCAATTATATAGCGACGTGCATGCACGTGTGTGTGGATGCTTGTACTAGCTGTTCTGGTGAGCACATACATATGCACGCACATATGTATCCTGTGTACCATTCTATTATTATAAATACCCATACCCAAATAAATACCAATGCGCCACCAAAGTGTATTGTATTGCATTCTTTGATGTTTTACGCCGCTCTCAGCAATATTCCAACTATATGACGGCGGTCTGTAAATAATCGAGTCTGGACCAGACAATTCAGTAATTGTCGTCATGAGCATCGATCCAAGCAATTGAGATACGATGATATGCATCAACCAAGTCAGCGAGCCTGACCACCCGATCCAGTTAGTCGCCTGTTACCACAAGCATAGTCGCCTTTTACGGCAAGCATGGGTTGCTGAAGACCTACCCCGGATCTTCACTGGTCCGTTTGGGAAGTGACGTCACCAGCTCCATCTTTCTTCACTCGCTTACGTAGCACTTAATTTATCATAATAGAATGAATATATAATACACTTTAAATATGACAGGTCCAAGTAACTAAGACTGTAACGGCAAGTTCTAAAACAGATCTGTTTGGCGTAAAAGCCATTAAAACCGCCAGTCATTAGGACGCTGACGCCACAGTACGGAGAACCCCGAGTGTCCCCAGATCGACACAAGAGGTCATGTCAATTTTTTTGACACAAATATGTAGGCCCTCGAAACGTCGCCAGCTGTTGAAAAGGGCTGCACCATATGTTTACTGTATCGCACTCTTAGCATCCCAAATCTGTTACACACTGTAGTGGCAGAGCGTATCACACAAAAATCTTGCGGTTCAGTCGGAGTACGAGTCGCTAATTGGCTTGTTCGTTTGACTGTTGTGTGTGCCATGTGTTTGCTTGAAGCGCACGGCTTGTAGGTAAACTCTGTGAATGGGTCGCGCATTGACACACTGTTGGAAGAGCAAATATTCCTTACACCGAGCTTCCCTTTTCACAAAATGTGCGTTGATTGAAGTTACGGGTTGTTCAAAGTGTAGCAGAAAGTTA